TGTTTATGAGTAATTGTTTTATATATTTGGGCGCTCCGGTATTCGGCGCATAGACATTTATAATTGTTAGCTCTTCCTGATGGATAGACCCTGTCACTATTATATAATGTCCTTCTTCATCTCTTGTTACAGCCTTTAATTTAAAGTCTAGTTTGTCTGATATAAGTATGGCTACTCCAGCTTTCTTTTGGCTTCCAGTAGCATGATAAATAGTTCTCCATCCCCTCACTCTCAATCTAAAGGTGTCCTCAGGTCTAAAATGAGTCTCTTGTAGACAGCAAATAGATGGGTCTTGTTTTTGTATCCATTCTGATACCCTATGTCTTTTGGTTGGCGCATTTAATCCATTTACATTCAGTGTTATTATAGAAAGATATGGGTTTAGAGTCATTGTGATGTCTGTATGTTTTATGCTTGTAGTGATGTCTCTGGTACTTTGTCTCACAGGGTCCCCCTTAGGATCTCTTGGAGGGCTGGTTTAGTGGTGACAAATTCCTTCAGTTTTTGTTTGCTTGGGAAGACCTTTATCTCTCCTTCTATTCTAAATGACAGGCTTGCTGGATAAAGGATTCTCGGCTGCATATTTTTTCTGTCTAGCAAACTGAAAATCTCGTGCCAACTCTTTCTGGCCTGCCAAGTTTCAAAAGAGAGATCAGTCACGAGTCTTATAGGTCTCCCTTTATATGTGAGGGCACGTTTACCCCTTGCTGCTTTCAGAATTTTCTCTTTATCCTTGTATTTTGCCAGTTTCACTATGATATGTCGTGCAGAAGATCGATTCAAGTTACGTCTGAAGGGAGTTCTTTGTGCCTCTTGGATTTCAATGCCTTTTTCCTTCCCCACTTCAGGGAAGTTCTCAGCTATTATTTCTTCAAGTACCCCTTCAGCACCTTTCCCTCTCTCTTCCTCCTCTGGGATACCAATGATGCGTATATTATTTCTTTTTAGTGTATCACTTAGTTCTCTAATTTTCCCCTCATACTCCTGGATTTTTTTATCTCTCTTTTTCTCAGCTTCCTCTTTTTCCATAACTTTATCTTCTAGTTCACCTATTCTCTCCTCTGCCTCTTCAATCCGAGCTGTGGTGGTTTCCATTTTGTTATGCATTTCATTTAAAGCGTTTTTCAGCTCCTCGTGACTGTTCCTTAGTCCCTTGATCTCTGTAGCAAGAGATTCTCTGCTGTCAGCTATACTGTTTTCAAGCCCAGCGATTAATTTTATGACTATTATTCTAAATTCACTTTCTGTTATATTATTTAAATCCTTTTTGATCAGCTCATTAGCTGTTGTTATTTCCTGGAGATTCTTCTGAGGGGAATTCTTCCGCTTGGTCATTTTGGATAGTCCCTGGCGTGGTGAGGACCTGCAGGGCACTTCCCCTGTGCTGTGGTGTATAACTGGAGTTGGTGGGCGGAGCCGCAGTCAGACCTGATGTCTGCCCCCAGCCCACCGCTGGGGCCACAGTCAGACTGGTGTGTGCCTTCTCTTCCCCTCTCCTAGGGGCGGGATTCACTGTGGGGTGGGGTGGCCCTTCTGGGCTACTTGCACACTGCCAGGCTTGTGATGCTGGGGACCTGGCGTCTTAGCTGGGGTGGGTAGGCAAGGTGCACAGGGGCAGGAGGGGCAGGCTTAGCTTGCTTCTCCTTAGGTGATCCACTTCAGGAGGGGCCCTGTGGCAGCAGCAGGGAGTCAGATCCGCTGCCGGAGGTTTGGCTCCGCAGACGTGCAGAGTTGGGTGTTTGCGCGGAGCGAGCAAGTTCCCTGGCAGGAACTGGTTCTCTTTGGGATTTTGGCTGGGGGATGGGCGGGGAAGATGGCGCTGGCGAGCGCCTTTGTTCCCCACCAAACTGAGCTCTGTCGTCCGGGGGCTCAGCAGCTTTCCTTCCCTTTGTCCTCCAGCCTTCCCGCTTTCTGAGCAGAGCTGTTAACTTATGACCTCCCAGCCGCTAAGTCGCGCTTGCTGTCGGAACACAGTCTGTCAGGCCCCTCCGCTTTTTGCAAGCCAGACTCGGGGGCTCTGCTTGGCCGGCGAGCCGCCCCTCCACCCCGGCTCCCTCCCGCCGGCCCGGGAGCGCGCACCGCCTCGCCGCCCTTCCTACCCTCTTCCGTGGGCCTCTCGTCTGCGCTTGGCTCCGGCGACTCCGTTCTGCTAATCCTCTGGTGGTTTTCTGGGTTATTTAGGCAGGTGTAGGTGGAATCTAAGTGATCAGCAGGACGCGCGGTGAGCCCAGCGTCCTCCTACGCCGCCATCTTCCCAGTAAGTCCCCCCTTTTTTTTTTTTTTTTAAATTTTCTTTTCAACATTTATTTTTTGGGACAGAGAGAGACAGAGCATGAATGGGGGAGGGGCAGAGAGAGAGGGAGACACAGAATCAGAAACAGGCTCCAGGCTCTGAGCCATCAGCCCAGAGCCTGACGCGGGGCTCGAACTCACGGACCGTGAGATCATGACCTGGCTGAAGTCGGACGCTTAACCGACTGCGCCACCCAGGCGCCCCTCTTTCATCTAGGTTTTTAAGGAAAAAGAAATGAAATAAATTTCCTACAGCCATTACCATACTCTTTCTGTGTTATGTTATTTTTTGTACCATTTCTCCTCTTAGAATTACTCCAGAAAATTGTTATAATAATTATTAATAAAAAAGGCACACATTATCTTCATGGTCAATTAGTTTCAATTTGTATTTTTACTTCAAATTAAGTCAAATAGCCAAGTTTTTGTTTTAATTCTAGTATAATTAACATAGTGCTATATTAGTTTCAGGTGTATACTACAGTGAGTCAACAATTCTATCCATTGCTCAGGACTCATCACCATTAAGTGTACTTTTTAATCCCTTTCCCCTGTTTTACCCATACCTGTACACATCTCCCCTCTAACAAACACTAGTCTGCTTATTTATTTAAATCATTTTTTTTAATTTTCCCGTTTCCATTAGTTTTGTTTCTTAAATTCCACATATGAGTGAAATCATCGTATATGTCTTTCTCTGACTTATTTAACTTATTAGCATTATATCCTCTAAATCCATCCATGTTGTTGCAAATGGCAAGATTTCATTCTTTTTTAATGGTTGAGTAATATTCTATTGTTTATATATGCCACAAATACTTGAGTTGCTTCCATATCTTGGCTACTGTAAATAATGCTGCCATAAACATAGGGTTGCATATTTCTTTTTGAATTAGTGTCTTCGTATTTTGGTTAAATCCCCAGTAGTGGAATTATAGAATCATATGGTAATTCTATTTTCAAATTTCTGAGGAACCTCCATACTGTTTTCCACAGTGGCTGCACCAGTTTGCATTCCCACTAACAGTGCATGAGGGTTCCTTTTTCTCCACACCCTTGCCAACAGTTGTTGTTTCTCAAATAGCTAAATTTTTATACATAACTTTAAAATTTTTTCACTTGAATCATTATTCTTCAAAAGCTTGACAGGAGGCATTGACTTTATTTGCAATTTCACAGAGGTCATTAAAGCTAGTAGTAGCAACACAGATGCATCTGTGAGATTGAGAGCAATAAACAATATAATCTGCAAAGTGATATGATTGAATCAATTCTGGTTAGGAATATGTAGTATGTAGAAAAGACAGCTCAAATAAAAGAAGTATGCCCACACATAGAGCATGTGGCCCTCTGGAAGAAACTAGGTACCTATGGTCCAACATGGAGGCTAGCTAAGGTATTCCACCAGTTTAAAATGTCACCAGCCCACAAGAAGTAAAGGATCTAATCACTTGCCCATAAAGAACTTGAAAAGATTAGTATGATATGAACAAGCTGTGTTCATTTATCAGATACCATAAATCTATGATGAAAAAAATTAAGACTAGACATTTTACTCAAATTAAAAAGCAAGGGTGTGTGTTTAGATGTCTACACTGTGTGACCCCTCCAGCGAGACTACTAGCAAAGTTCACTGCATGATGGAATGAAGGAAAGGGCCAGATTATAATGTAGATTTCATCTCAGTGTTGTCATGAGAATCTATTAAAGACATTTAATATTTAAAATTAAAGAGCTCTGAGGGTTTCAACTTTTCAAATCCCCTAGTCACTTCATGAAAGCAAACCAACAAAAACAAAAATAACAAAAAGTATAGTGATTAAGATCATGAGCTCTGAGCCAGAATGCTTAAATTCAATCTTGGCTCCATTCCTTATTAATTGTAGTACTTTGGAAAATTATCTCTCTGTGCCTCTCTTTTCTTATGTATAAAAATGAAGAGATAGCACAGTATTCACCTCATAGGGTTGTTGTGAAATTAAAAGTATAAGTGTAAATTTTTATGTCAGTGTTCATCATAAAGAAAGGGCAACTTGTTCAAATAGGTGTAGTTTTTTATATGAAACTGGACAGGCTGATGTACTGTTAGCAACTGAAGACTCCTCTTGTTTCCAACTGGTAAATAACTTGGAAGTCCATAAGATCATTTTTTAAAGAAAATAAGGATTCTATGGTATAAATGGAATCAGCTTCTAGGAATTTCTGAGGTCTTGATCTGAGAATCAATCAGTGAATTATGTTTTACCTTTCTGTAATTTCTTGAAGAAGAAACATCAGGATGTTTATGAATTGCCAAGCATCTTCATTGTCTAAATGGGTCAGCTAAAACAAAACCAAAACCACTGATGGCACTCAAAATAAACTAGGTCTTCCAAGAAGGACCAGTATTCCTGGACTTGGAAAAATGAGCATATGAATCCCTTTAGTGTCCTAAAATATTGAGTATTATGGGCACATTGGGCTATATTTTCACTCAATAAATGGAGAGAAAAGTAATTAACATTTATTGGGTGCCTAAGGTGTAGTAGGCTTTTGGTGGTTTCTGTAAATAGGTCATATCATTTTAATTTTCGTAATAGTCCTATAAAGTTATTATCCCTGCATGGTATTAAGGAAACAGAAACCCTGGGGCGCCTGGGTGGCGCAGTCGGTTAAGCGTCCGACTTCAGCCAGGTCACGATCTCGCGGTCCGTGAGTTCGAGCCCCGCGTCAGGCTCCGGGCTGATGGCTCAGAGCCTGGAGCCTGTTTCCGATTCTGTGTCTCCCTCTCTCTCTGCCCCTCCCCCGTTCATGCTCTGTCTCTCTCTGTCCCAAAAATAAATAAACGTTGGAAAAAAAAAAAAAAAGGAAACAGAAACCCAGAGGTCTTCAACTGATCAATGGCATAGTTGGGATCCGGCTTATCTGACCCCTAACTCCATTCTCTTTTTGCTATTCTCTCCTGTTTTTAACAAATAAAATCCAGGCAAAGGCAGCCATTAGTTCCTTGGATGTGAAAACAGCATTGAGATTTGCCACATGGCTTTCAAGAATATTTCTGCTGGGGCACCTGAGTGGCTCAGTTGGTTAAGCGTCCGACTTTGGCTCAGGTCATGATCTTTGCAGTTTGATTCCCGAGTCGGGCCCTGTGCTGACAGCTCAGAGCCTGGAGCCTACTCTGGAGTCTGTGTCTCCCTCTCTCTTTGCCCCTCTCTCCCTGCTCATGCTCTGTCTCTGTCTCTCAAAAATAAATAAACATAAAAAAAAAATTAAAAAAAGAGTATTTCTGTTAATATTAATGTTCCCATAAACATGTTCAATGCTGGCAAATCTCAAAAGTAATTCAAATTGTTCTTTTCAATTAACAAATTTTATTAAGCTGTTTTTAAGTTTATTTTAGGTTAATACTAAAATTTATGTTCTTGAACTAATAAAAAGTAGGTGATGATTATCAACAGATAATCCAAGTGCTTTTCTTTTAAAAATGTAAAAAATGAAAAATTCCTACCATAGACAATCCAGTAGCATATAGGAAATAAAAGAGGGCTCCATATAAGGAAACAGGTCAGATCAACACAATTAGATCAAACTCTACATAAAAGTTCACTCTTGGACTCTTAAAAACTGAGAACAAACTGAGGGTTGATGGGGGGTGGGAGGGAGGGGAGGGTGGGTGATGGGTATTGAGGAGGGCACCTTTTGGGATGAGCACTGGGTGTTGTATGGAAACCAATTTGACAATAAACTTCATATATTGAAAAAAAAAAGTTGACTCTTGTATTTAAATGGTAGAAACGTGAAGTGACATTTTGATACTTCTCGCTCATTACTATCTACACAAACAGCTTAACTGAGTTCATGTCCCAAAGGAGAAAATGTGATTCTTCTGATAGTGTTATGAAATAAGATGCGGAATAAGACAAGGACTTGGGGAAGCTGACTTTGGTCATATTAGATATGTGGGATATCTACTGATCAGTCTGGCAGCTTCAACTATCCAGCATGCTTAAACCTCAAAATAGTCCACCCTTCCACCAACTCAATCTTTTTCATGGCACCCCCCTGCAGGCACAAAAAGGATTTAACAAAAATGTATTACCTTTGAACAGAAAGTAGCAATGAAAATAAAAAGGTCTCAGAGTTAATAAATGGTAACCCATGACTGTCTGATTGGAATGAAGAGCACGGTAACTGACTAATGATGTTCATAAACATTAGCTGTTTTGAACTAAAGCAAAGACTCTCTCGAGAAGTGGTAGGAACCAAAAAAAGGCAGACAGAAAACAGATGGAGGCAGGGGTAGCAGCAGCAGGGCAGAGAGATCAGAAAGAGAGGCACTATTTGGGCAGCACTGATAGCCAGTACTAAAACAGAGAGAGCTTTTATTTATTTATTTTCTAATATTTATTTTTATCTTAGAGAGAGAGGAGAGAGAGAGAAAGGGAGGGGCAGAGAGAAAGGGGGGCAGAGGGTCCAAAGCAGGCTCTGTGCTGACAGCAGCGAGCCCATTGCGGGGCTCCAACTCAACGAACCGAGAGATCATGACCTGAGCCAAAGTGGGATGCTTAACTGACTGAGCTACCCAAGCACCCCAAAAGAGAGATAACTTTTAAAGGCTCAGGGGAGACTATGGGCAATTACCAGTTCTTGGTACAATGGAGTTTTGGATATTCGTATAAAATTTTCATTAGTTTTTAGTCTGTGGAGAAATTCTGACCCTCGATCTTTAGGAAATTCCTATTTTAACAATGACAAATAACCGACCTTTGCAAGTATTGCCACGGATTTACAGAAGAGTATTACAGCAAGTTACCCACTGTCTGAAAAAATTAAGATAGCTTTACATGCAGTATAAGTTATATCCTTAAAAATAGCTCCAATTCTACATAACTTGTATTTAATAAACTCTCAGTTCAGATTTAAGCACTTTGAAGGTAGGGCTCATGTCTTGGTTTTATGTATGTATGTATGTATGTATGTATGTATGTATGTATGTATTTCCTTATTTTATCTTGCACTGGTTCATATGCCCCAGGCCTAGTCCTTGAAGTGCTCTTATGTGGAGATCCAGGTGTGGCTCAGGGTCCTAATACCACTCATCACCACATCCCTCTAGCTCTCCCCTCTCTTGTAACTCTGCCCATTGGAATGGCAGCAGGCTTTCCAGCATATTGTCCCAGTGAAGGAGTTTACTAATGGGTAAACTAAGGCTGCCAAGACTGAATATTCTCTTCTTATGGAGATGAGAACTTTTCTAGAACATTAGACATATTTATTTAATAAATACTATAAAGAGACCATTTAAAAAGCACAAAAAAGGGGCGCCTGGGTGGCGCAGTAGGTTAAGCGTCCGACTTCAGCCAGGTCACGATCTCGTGGTCCGGGAGTTCGAGCCCCGCGTCAGGCTCCGGGCTGATGGGTCAGAGCCTGGAGCCTGTTTCCGATTCTGTGTCTCCCTCTCTCTCTGCCCCTCCCCCGTTCATGCTCTGTCTCTCTCTGTCCCCAAAATAAATAAACGTTGAAAAAAAAAATAAAAAATAAAAAAAAATAAAAAGCACAAAAAATATATTACAAGCTCAGGGAACATTTGGCTCCTGTGTGCCAAGAAGCATTTAGCTCCCAGGTGGTGGTGTGTGTGTGTGTGTGTGTTTTAATTTAATAATTTATATATATTTTAAATTTACATCCAAGGTAGTTAGCATATAGCGCAACAATGATTTCAGGAGTAGGTTCCTTAATGCCCCTTACCCATTTAGCCCATCCCCCCTCCAACACTGCTCCCTTTGTTCTCTATATTTAAAAGTCTCTTATGTACTGTCTCTGTCTCTATTTTTATATTATTTTTCCTTCCCTTCCTTTATGTTCATCTGTTTTGTATTTTAAAGTCCTCATATAAGTGAAGTCATATGGTATTTGTCTTCCTCTGACTAATTTCACTTAGCATAATACTCTCTAGTTCCATCCATGTAGTTGCAAATGGCAAGCTTTCTTTCTTTTTGATTGCCGAATAATACTTCATGGTATATATATATATACCACATTTTCTTTATCCATTCATCCATCGATGGACATTTGGGCTCTTTCCATACTTTGGCTACTGTTCATAGTGCTGCTATAAACATCAGGGTACATGTGCTCCTTGGAAACAGTACACCTGTATCCTTTCGATAAATACATAGTAGTGTGATTGCTGGGTCGCAGGGTAGTTCTGATTCTAATTTTATGAGGAACCTCCATACTGTTTTGCAGAGTGGCTGCACCAGTTTGCATTCCCACCAGCAGTGCAAAAGAGATCCTCTTTCTCTGCATCCTCACCAACATGTGTTGTTGCCTGAGTTGTTAATGTTGGCCATTTTGACAGGTGTGAGGTGGTATCACATGGTGGTTTTGATTTGCATTTTCCTGATGATGAGTGATGTTCAGCATTTTTTCATGTGTCAGTTGGCTATCTGGGTGTCTTCTTTGGAGAAATGTCTATTCATGTTTTTTAGGGCTCATGTCTTGTTTATCGAGGTGTACCTAATAGTACATTGGCTAAGATCTAGTGAGAATTTAATAAATATTTGTTGAATTATTTCTTTTTAAAAGAAATAAAATTTTAGTATAAATTAAATTTATTACTTATGAGAACATTTATAAATTTATTTATTATTTAATGTAAGTAAATATTTTGAATTTATCATTTGCAGGATACCAACTCATTTGGAAATGTTTACAAACCTATAATTTAGAAACTAATTTAAAATGGAGACTTTTTCATTTAATTGCATGCACCATTAAAAGTATTTTGTATTCTATTCTATTCTATTGAGGAGCAGGGGGAGAGAGAGAGAGACAATCTTAAGCAGGCTTCACAATCAGCGCAGAGCCCAATGCAGGGCTAGATCCCACAACCCTGGGATCACAACCTGAGCCGAAATCAAGAGCTGGATGCTCAACCACCCTGTTTTTGCTTTTTAAAATTAACTATGTGGTTAATTACAACCATGGCTTCTAATAAAACAGAAATTGCATTAACTTAAGTGAAATACTCATTTTATGAGCAAAAATAATATTATGATATATATATTATTTTATGATATATATCATATTATATATATAATACATATATATGATATATACAATAATTATGAGCAAAAATAAAATTTGTTACTAGGCCTTATTTGAGATAAGTAATGATAAGATGGTATTAAATTTAAAACTTAAAATAGATTGATTATGAATATGTGAAATAATCAGAGATACATACTCAGGCATAATCACTCCCTACAAGACTCCACACTGAAATGTTCTCCTCTTCACTAAAAAGTACATCCAATGTTCTGGGTCCAGTAACTGATCCAGTACTCAAGCCCTTGACTTCTTTTTTTTCATCCTGTGTAATTAGTTCTCAAATTCTATCAGCTATACTTTTTAAATACCTCTTGAATATGTCAATCCCACATCCCTTTCCGCTATTATCTCTCACCTGGACAACTACTTCTCCACAGAGAACAGTATGGTGTAATTACCTTAATATGCAGCAATATACTCGTTACTACATTTTTCACTGAAGTGACCACCACACTTTAATAAATGCCTTGCCAGTTCTCCTTCATTCATGTAGAAACATTCAATTGTTAAGATGCTGATAGGAATCATGGACCAACCATTGTACAAAGTTTGTGTTTAACAATTATTCTGGAAATGGTTAATCAAACATGAATAAAAGCATCTCTCCTTAGTCCAAGAAACTTCACATCAGAGCACTGTGTACTTTACTGAGTCACTTCCAAATACTCAACAGAACACAATCCATTTTAAAATCAGAGGGTAGGGTTGGATGAAAGCTAATGTACCTTACTATATTGCTTTAAAATACTATGATTTTTCAGCTTCCTTCTGACTTATAATTCAAAAACATCTCAGAATACATGGGTCAGAGTCTAAACCAAATCCACCCATTACGTGCAAGGATGCTCTATTATGCAGAGAGCCTCTAGAATTTCCTGGTGATGGGGAAATCCATGTCCCCTTGCTTTTCTTCTCCTGTGCTCATGACTAAATCCCTCTTCCTGGCTGGGAAGGTAGGAAATAAGATGGCATGGCTGACACCTGGCTCCCATCCTGCTATCTTCCCAGTTCAATTTCTCTCTCTTCTTACTGATTAGTTACAGCACTAAAGAGAAACAAGGAAAAAAGGAAAGAGAAAAGTTTGTCTTTGGAATAGGAAAAAATTCAGTTCACTGGCCGGGAAGTAAGTGCCTCATACTATTTTGCTTTTCATCTTCAGCATATACACAGGGCCTGGATTAAAATATGTCTATGCAATTGAACTGAAGTCATCTGATTTTTTAAAAACATTTTAACATAAGCAGAGTTGAGGGGCGCCTGGGTGGCTCAGGTGGTTAAGCTTCTGACTTCAGCTCAGGTCACGATCTTGTAGTTCTTGAGTTCGAGCCCTGCGTCGGACTCTGTGCTGACAGCTCAGAGCCTGGAGCCTGTTTCGGATTGTGTCTGTCTCTCTCTCTCTCTCTCTCTCTCTCTGCCCCTCCCCTGCTCGCACTCTGTCTCTCTCTCAAAAATAAACATAAAAAAAACCCATAAGTTTGGTTGACATATGATTTTTAAAAATGCTTCTTTATATGAGAGGTGGGGGGGGGGGAGGAGGGAATCCCAAGCAAGCTCCATGATCAGCACAGAGCCCAATCAAGGCTTGATCTCACAAACCATGAAATGACCCAAAACCAAGAGTTGGACACCTAACTGACTGAGCCACCCAGATGCCCCAGTTGACATAGCATTTTTAATTGACACCAAAACTGTCTATTTTGGTGATATTTCTAGCAAAATAAAAAACATTTATGAACAAGCTTTTACAGCATAAAGATATTAATATAGTCAGTTCTTCACCATTTTTATCACAGTTACGTTCCTTTTCAATTATAAGTACTTAGGAATCTTAGAACTGCATTTGTTTTGTTTAGAATTGCAACTATAAACATTCTTAAATTTAATGCAAATAAAATCGTGTTTTAATAAAAAAAATAATAAAACCCAGCCCATTTTCTCAGTAGCAGAATTAAGTGGACTTTTTTCCTGATGGCATTTAAAGGTCCCCAAGAGTATGTTTTAGCAACACTGTATTGTTAAAAGTGTCAAAACTGATGACTAATTTCCAATAATCTTCCAATTAAATAATTCAAACTGATAAATTAACTTTCATGAGAAATAACGGTCCCACATCTTTTTAAATTTAAAAGGATATGAATTATATTCCTATGAAATAACATTGTTTGAAATTTAAAAAGGTCTTTTGGGGCATCAATCCCTCTGAATGTAAAACTGAAAACTGCTTATAAAGTACATTTAGCTTTGGTGCCCAGTTTTCAAATATAACCCAGAATGAGTGTTCATTACACTTAAAGACACAATCTGAATCTTGGAAATTTGTTGGTCCCTTTTTATCAGGCCAGCTAATTGTTATCTCAGTGTTCTGTGTTTTTTTTCCTTTCCCTTCAAGTAGAACTCTAAATGAAAGACACAGTGTAATCATAGTTTAAAAAAATCTTGTGCAAGCAAAGGCCAACTTGGTGTCACTGAGCATCTAGAGAAAGGACAGAATCATGTATTATTTGCACTGTAAAATACTTTAAGGACCAACAATTACAAACCCATCATTTTTTAAGTTGATTTATTTTGAGAGAGAGAGAGAGCGAGCAAGCACATGCAGGGAAGGGGTAAAGAGAGAGGGAGAGATAGAATTCCAAGCAAGCTCTCCGCACCGTGAGCATGAAGCTCCTTGCGGGCTTGAACTCATCAACCATGAGGTCATGACCTGAGCCGAAACCAAGAGTAGGATGCTTAACTGACTGAGCCACCAAGGCACACACCTCCCAACTCCATCTTTTTATCACTGAAGAAAATGAGCCCTGAGGAAAAAAGATTATTGAATTCATTGAATAAATATGTTTGATTTGCTTTTAGTTATCAATAATAATCTAGGCACAAATGGTAGGTAGAAACAAATAAAAGAGACTTGAATCCTGTCCTTACAGAATTTTCATGTCAGGAAGATAAAGTAACAAATGAACATGTAACTACACATACGATCAGTACAACGGAGAAGAGAAAACAGGGATCTTGCAATGGTTTTAATAGTGTCACCCCAAAATTCATGTCCACTTGGAACCTCGGAAGTTGACTTTATTTGGAAATAGTGTCTTTGCAGATGTCATTAGTTTAGATGAGGTCACACTAGCTTAGGGTGGGCCCTGAATCCCATGACTTTTAAGAACTCTGTGGAGACACAAACACACACACACAGGGAACAAGGCCATGGTGATAAGAGAGTCTGAGATTGGAGTCAGGTAGCTGCCATCCAAGGAA